ATAAATTAGATAATTTGTGGTAGAGTTTTATAGAAATTATTTTATTTTCTTTAAATATATCATTGTCTAATTGGATTTCCTTGTATTAAAAAACTCATAACAAATAGATAAATACAAGTTATAAGTGATAGAGTTTTAAAGAAAATATAATAATTAATTTGTGATAGAATTTTATATAAATCATTTTAGTTTCTTTAAATATATTTTAAAAAAAATTAGATAAATATGATAGAATTTTATAGAAAATAAAATAGCTATTTGTGGTAGAATTTTACGGAAATTATTTTATTTTTTATATTAATAATTCTTGTCTAATTAGATTTTGTTTTAGTAAAAAACTCATAATAAATTGATAAATAGGTAATTTATGTTAGAGTTTTATAGAAATTCTATTACAAACTCTTTTTATATCAATTAATAAATAATTTTTTTATATTAATAATTATTTTGTAATTAGATTTCTTTACATTAAAAAACACATAATAAATACATAAATATGTAATTTGTGTTAGAGTTTTATAGAAACTCGTTTAAAAACTATTTTTATATTAATTAATGAATATTTTATCAAGTTATATATGATACAGTTTTAAAGAAAATAAAATAGATAATTTGCGGTAGAATTTTAAATATATTATTATCTATTTTATTTTCTAATTAGATTTCATTTTATTTAAAAAAAACTAATAATAAATATGTAATATGTGTTAGAGTTTATAGAAACTCCTTTAAAAATCTTTTTATATCAATATTTTTTATATTAATAATTCTTGTCTAATTAGATTTTTTTTATTAAAAAAACTCATAATAAATAGATAAGTAGGTAATTTGAAAGTGGTGATTTGAATTTCATTAGGTAATTTTCTTTTTGTATCAATTAATAAATATTTTTTTATTAATAATTATTGTGTAATCAGATTTCTTTATATTAAAAAACTCATAATAAATAGATATATAGGTAATTTGTGTTACAGTTTTTTAAAAACTCTTTTTATATTAATTCATAAATATTTTTTCAAGTTATATGTGATAAAGTTTTAAAGAAAATAAAATAGGTAATTTGTGGTAGAGTTTTAAATATGTTATTTTCTAATTAGATTTCATTTTATTTTTAAAAAATCATAATAAATAGGTAATATGTTTTAGAGTTTTATAGAAACTATTTTAAAAATATTTTTATATCAATTAACAAATATTTTTATATTAATAATTCTTGTCTAATTAGATTTTCTTCTATTAAAAAACTCATTATAAAAGGTAATTTGTGATAGAGTTTTGGATAAATTATTTTATTTTTTATATCAATTAATAAAATTTTTTTATATTAATAATTGTTGTCTAATTAGATTTTCTTTTATTAAAAAACTCAAAATAAATAGATAATTAGGTAATTTGAAAGTGATGATTTGAATTTTATTTGGTAATTTTCTTTTTATATCAATTAACAAATATCTTTTTTATAAAAAAAATTTTTACATCAATTAACAAATTTTTTAGGTGAAATTCTTTTAGGTTTTTATATTAATACTGAAATAATAAAGTAATAAAGTCCTTTAGGTTTTTATATTAATACTGAATTTTGAAATTGGTGTTAGAGTTTGAGTTTTGTAAAGTAATAAATTCTTTTAGGTTTTAATATTAATATTGAAATATTATTTCTGAATTTTGAAATTGGTGTTAGAGCTTGAGTTTTGTAAAGTAATAAATCCTTTTAGGTTTTTATATTAATACTGAAATATTTTTTATATAACTTCGAAATTTATTAGGTAATTCTGTTTTTGTATCAAGAAACTATTTGCACATTTAATAATAGTATAGTAAAGATAGATATAGATTATTAGGTAACTTGTAATTTGTATTTTATTAGGTAATTTGAATAATTTTTTTAATTTATGAAATTTGAGTACAATTCTTTGTTGGATCCAAGAGTTGTTGGAGCTTGATCTTGAATTGGGCTATTTACAATCTCTTTCAAGAATTTGTAGTTTGTAGTTGAGGAAGATTTTGAATCGGGCTATTGACAATCTCCTTCAAGTATTTGTAGTTGAGGAAGATCGCTGATGATTTCTAGAATTCACAATTTCTACCTCTCTTCCTCCTTCCTCTCCATGTCTCTATTTATAGGTTTCTTGGATTAATAGGATAATGATATGTGCCCTCCCCTGATAAAGATATAATCATAACTAGATTGGGCTAGGCCGGACTGATTATATTATGATAATTATCCATAACAATAATTATTCCAAATATATTTATATTTAGGAAAGAGTTAGAAATAGAATAAATAGAAAAAGTAAAATTGTTTTAACCTCGAAAAATCTCAAATATAATAGGATTTGTTTTAATTGGTAACTGAATTTTATTAGGTAATTCCTTTTTTATATCAATTAATAAATATCTTTTTTTATAATTTTTTTTTAATTAATAAATATTTTTTATATTAATAAATAAATACTGAAACTCTTTGTGCATTTAATAATAGTATTTTTATTTTTATATCAATTAATAAATATCTTTTTAAATAATTTTTATATGTTAATTAATAAATATTTTTTTATATTAATAAATAAATACTGAAATACTAAAAGTCTTTGCACATTTAATAATAGTATAAATATAAATATACCATACTTGTTATATTAGGGTTAATATTATATGGTACATAGGCTTAAATTAAACGTGAGCCCACCAAAGCCCAAATAGAAAATACCAGGCGGACCCAAATACCCCATAGTCCAGTAACATTTATTCCAGCCCAGTAAACATAACACAATGCAAAATAACATTTAAATGTACAAAAATATAAATAATCTTATTTAATAATTTATTTAAAAATAGAGTATTACATGGGAATGTCACTAGAAAAACTTCCTTGCACATACTAAAAAATAAAAGGCTTAAGCCTCTAATTAATACAAGCATCAAGGGGTAAACCCCTGCTATACAAAAAGATTCCAGAAATCCCCAGCCCACACGTACTGAGGCAAAAAAATAGAAACACCCAATTAACATAAAGAATGAACATTGGCGCTCTTTATGTTAACGGGATTTGCAAACCTTCCTGGCTTTCATTGGTGTAATTTACATTTAAGTCACACAATCCTTCTTAATGAGTGTCGCTCTCACATTCCGAACGTGTTCTTGCTCTCACGCCGCGCGCGCTTTGGCTCAAATTCTCACTCCCGTTCTCGAATTTACTCTCGCTCTCGCTCTCGCTCTCGCTCCCGCTCCCGCTTTAATTTACATCAACTTAAATCAAAGGAGCTTCTTTGTCTTCAGTGACATGGTTTACATTAACAGAACTTCAATCATATGCAACGCATTGCATTTGTATGACAAAAGAACTCTTTTTCCAAATTTAAACAATAGAACCACAAAACATAAGCTAATAATTAAGTGCATTTAACACTTATCTAGTATTCTTATAGTCCATGTACACCTCCTAATGTTCACTGAACCATTTAGGCATTGTTTAAAAATGATGAAATTAGTACCAAATGCTTATCCACATACCCTTTTATATAAACTAGCATTTTGTACCGATTGAGAATGATCCATGCAGAATTCAGTGTCCCATTCATTGCAATAATAGTTTTCCTGAAACAGTTCTGGATGTATAACTTTATCAAGAACCTATGGATCTTCTCCACGTAACTCATGCAATGGTGTTATACAAATATACAGATATATAAGCAATCATATATGTGTATATATATATATATATAAACAAACTCATATATAAGACACACGTGATCCTATCACCACCATTACTCCACTGTAGCCTCACATCTTCCCACCTTTTTCAGTGTCCGCCCCTTTTACTCACTCTCTCTTTCCTTTTCTGATTTGGAATCATCTGCGAATTTCAATTACACCATGCCAGGCTATGCTTTTCACACCTAAAATTGAACTTTTACTCGAATCCATTAACATTTATTATTTATTTTTTTGAAAAAAAAAAATTTCTTATTAAGGAGGGGGAAGCTTCAATCCAATTAATCATATTCACTGTAATATTCATTAACCGGATAACATGAAAAAAATAAAAGTAAAAAAACAACTATTATGAATGTACATTTTGGGCAGAAGAAACTACAAAACTGTTGGAATCAAGAATGATGAGTATCGAGGTTTAGAGACACATAATTGCTTTTTAAAGATAGTTAAAACCTCTCTCACATGCAAACGGAAGATGAATGGCAGCACTATTTCCGGAATTTAACTAAGCACAGATATTAAATCTGTATGTTCATGAATGTTACACTTCTTTTCATTAATCTATGCATTTATTTTCATCCGATCAACTAAAAATATGAAATTCATACATTCAAACAAAATAATTTGAAAACATTTTTTCAAATCTCTCTCTCTATTTTTCTTGTATTGAGAGTGTGTGGTAGGCTTCATATGCCATGCTATTTATACTAATATATTTAGAAAATATTAATTAAGTATTTAATGTAACTTTAATCTTTAATTCATAAATAACATATTAATGTAGTAAATTAAATGCATCAGTGGAAGAATTTAAAGTTTAAAATTTGTAACATCAATACTTTGTCGTTGTATACAGAGTTACTATATTAATTTGAAACATTAATCCAACACTATAAATAACTAAGATTTCGGAATAAGCCAAGTTCAAATAAATTAAGTCAAAACATAAAATTGTACAAGCCCGTACAACACCACTTAAAATTGAGATCTTAATTAAGCCAAACCAATACATTCTGTGCTAAAGCCTTCATGCCGTTTAGAAGACAAATGGATATTTACACACTTGACATAATTGAGTGATTGAGTTGCTCACAGAATCTAGGAGCCCATATTCGAACCTTACACCCACCCCTCTAACCACTATAAAAAAACGTAAAAAATTGACTTCATTAATGAATATTTACATGCATCATGTTAATTGAAATTGAGAAGCATCTTAGTCTCCGTTGTCAGGTTTACATCAACTGGAATTTGAGGAGCTTTTTTGTCTCCATTGACATGGTTTACACCAGCTGGATTTCGCCTCCATTAGCATTGTTTGCGCTGGCTACATTTTGAGGAGCTGCTTGGCCTACAATATTGGCATTGTTTGCCGCAGCAGCTGCATTTAGAGGAGCTTCTGGGCCAAAAATACTGTCATTGTTTGCCGCCGCTGCATTTTGAGGAGCTCCTGGGCCCCCAATATTGGCATTGTTTAGAGCTTCTAGGTCTCTATTGGCATTGTTTGCATCTACTGAACTTAAACTTCTTCGTCTGCGACCTATTAAAACGCAAATTGATACCAAAACTGCGAGAAAACCCATTATCAGACCACCGATTGCAGTGATATTTACAAATTTACTCGTTTGAATATCGAATTCTTTTATGTTCTTGTCTGGAGTCATTCCGCTAAGAGAAGCAAAAAAAACTACTATAACTGACACAACCGTCACGCATGTGGTTATAATAAAAAACCCCAAAACAATGTTGTTGTTGAACGCCATTGCAATGATGAGTAAAAGAATTGTTAATATAGATCCAATAAAACCAAATAAGTTGGATATGTAGAAAATTGCAAACCAAACCGGATTGTTATAAGCCATTACGAATTCCCCGGCCTTGTGTGGATTTGGCACCATAGGGATATCCTGGACATCTTTGGGAGAGTCATCTTGCCACACACCACCGGGAGGGTCTACAGCAGCTTGGAAAGTCAGTGTCGCAATTAGGGACAGCACCAACAATAATATGGTCCGCCATTCCACCAGCCGCTCCCTCATAGTAGTACCATGTTGCGAATTCGTCCTGTGTGGTATATCTCGGGCCATAGAGTTGCGCCTAATGGTTTCACTTTCATTACCAGATGACATATCTTTGGCTCTTAATGCTCGTCCAAGTGAGTTTCCAATCTCGAAATCCTTTCAGAGAGTTTCTGTTAAAATGTCCGATGAGTTGTGAGCTAAGAGATGGAAATAAGAAAGCGAGGATCACTGCAGGAAAGCAGGTATATATCTTTCTTTTTTTCGGAAGGTAAAGCAGGTATATATCTTTACAAAGTGAACAATGATGAGGGAAGAAGTGACGACTTTGTAAAAACAATGATGACGGAATAAGTGAAGCACGAAGTAAAGAAAAAAAAAAAAATCAAAAATTAAATCTACAGTATCTACTTATCAATAATTCAATATGAATGGTAGCCCCACCATACAATCTCCATTTTATATATGAATGGTAGCCACACCATACAATCCCCATTTTAAGTTGTTCATTTTACGGAGTGTAACATTTTAAGGAAATAAGCAATTATTGCACTGTCGGTTCCTTTAAAATTATCAAATTGTTGATCTTTTATGTTTAAATATATGTATTATTAAGTTAATTGTGAGGGTGTAATTATGAAAACATAACTTTTTGTAAAGTTTTTAACTTTATCTATATATATAATTAGTATAATGACTTTTTCAACTGTGGGGCCCACTTGTGATATAAGGGTCATTACAGACCCATTTAGTTTCCAATTTGCTCTCTCTCTCTCGGACAGCTTAAGTCTCTCTCTCTCTCTGCTTCTGTCTTTTTTTTTTCTTTTTTCTTTTTCAACTTCAATCCTTGATTTCTCTCTCAATTCTTAGCGGATTTAGGTGCCGTTTGAGGCAAAACGACGAGCACGACGAGCTCTACGTGCTAGTACCAGAAATTCCAGCTTTTGGTCCTCTTTGGGAGCTCGAATTTAAGAACCCATTTTTAGGGATTTTGCTCATTTTGAGGTAGGGACACCTTAATCCACTACCTTCTTGTTCCATTATGAGTTATAATCATTTGTTGTGCCAAGCATGCTTAATTAGAAGTTAATTGTATCAATGATTATTTTAAATGTTGTCTAGAGAAATTCATGTGTATGAATGTGAGTTGTTTTATATGTAAAGTATGCTTAAATATATTTTGTTGTATCTTAATGTGTTAATAATTACTTAAGAGATGTTGAACATGTTGAATGTTTAATTTTATGGTGTAGAATTTTAAATGCCATGACATTGAATGTATGGAACATATATACATGCACATACCATTGGGTTTGCATGAAATGGGAGAAATTGTTCTTGAAATAAATATGGGGAATTTCAGGGAAGTGTTTTTGATGAAATGGTTTTATGCGAAACCCGATCGCTGCGGAGTTACCAACAGGCCGGGGTTAATATAGCCTAGAGGGGACTAGGGAGTCGCCCTAGCATGGTTGAGCTAGCTGGGCCCCATAATGACGCCGCGGGGTTACCAAGGGTCAAGGACACTAGCCAATCCTCCTCTCGTGTCGCGGCGGGGCTACCAAAAGGCGGGCTGTATTAACAGTTTGGAAACGATGTTTTGGATTATGAAAATGGGGAGCGACACTAGCATGCATTGCATCTCATACCAATGCATTAGATATACTTGAGATTGAATCGTTATGCTGTATTATTTCCCGACATTGTATGATCCCCATTTCCCATTGGTCTATGTTTCGTTTGGATTCACAAGGACACAAGATGTGTGTCTTAAGTGTCACCTGCTGAACTTTATGCTCACCCTACTATTTATATTATTTTTTTCAGGTCTTGGAAATGAACTGGTAGATGACAATCCACATCAAGCTTGAAAGTTGTTAGAAAGTTGTTTGCTATTTTGTATTTTGACCGTTCTATGTATATTCGTAGTTATGGAAATGTAACTAAGTAAGTATCCATGGCTTTGTAACTTAAGAACGAACTTATCTTTTATTTAATGTAAATGAAACTAGTGGAATTATGGTATATGTTTCCATGCAATTGTATCATGTAACGTTGTAAGACAGGGACTTTAAATATTAATCATGTATTTTGGGACTGTAATTATGATAATTTAGATTAATTGGTGTGTGGATGTTCCACCATGAGAGGAACTATGTTGAGGTATAATGAACGGATGAATGGAATGCTGGATGATTTTATGTGTTTTGTGTATTGGGACAGGTTGTTGAAGGCCCATTTTTAGAGGAGTTTATGCCGAATTTTTTTAAATTTTGGCATCAACTAGGGTCGTTACAAATTTGGTATCAGAGCGATGGTTCGAATACCATTAGGACGACGGATAGAGGCTTGCCTAGGATTGTCTGGAAGTCATTTGCATTGTTATTTCCTTGTTTGGAAAAGTGTTTTGCTATGTGAAAAAGCATGCTTAACTGCTTACTTGCTTACGTGCTTATGTGTTTATATGCTTACATTAATGTGTTCATTGCATAATATTACATGCTAAATGTTTGTACAGTATGTTTTTGCGTTGGGTTGTTCACGGTTGGACCTTAGTGTTATCGTTATTGAATTGTTTCCTTTGTTTTATAGAACGATGTCACGGCGTGAGGAAATCAGGGAAGTTGACCCTAGACCGACTAGGGGTGATGTTGGCGAGAGCTCCAGCTCTAATCCGGAGGAGCTAAATGATGAGGACACACTTCTTAGGGACTTGATTCCCCCGAGAGTTGTCCCCACAAGGAGGGATAATGTTGAAGCATCCGTAGAAGTGGGTGAAGGTTCTGTGGCACTGAAGTTTAATCGTTTGTTGCAAAATGTCGTGAGGGCAACGATTGCTGCTCAGTCGCAGTCGGCACTACAACCTACAGTTCAAGTTGAGGAGACGCCAGCTCAAAAGTGTCTTAAGATTACTAAGGGGTTTTCTCAGCTGATGCCGATTATGTTTGAGGGCGGTGCGGATCCAATGATAGCAGATGACTACATGGAGCAAGTTGAAACTTAATTGATTTCAATGGATGTGACGGAGGATCATTTGAATATCATCCTAGCTACTTATAAGTTTGCTAAAGATGCCAAATTATGGTGGAAGTCGGTTACGAGCCGGTACAAGGTAGAAGAGATGAGTTGGAACAAGTTTAAGGAATTGTTTTATGAAAAGTACTTTCCGCTTTCCAAAAGATGGGAGTTACAAAACCAGTTTCATAACCTTATCCAAGGGAGCATGTCAGTGGCAGAATATGAAAACAAGTTCACTTCACTTTCTTGCTTTGCTCCAGAAATGGTGAAAGATGAAGCTAACAAGACTCGGAAGTTTGTTTCTGGTCTTAATGATCGGATAAGGCCGTTGATCACGGCACAGTTCATTAAGGTTTACTCTGAAGCAGTGGAAAAGGCTTTGATGCTGGAAGCTGATAATAAAGAGAATGATGCAAGAAGAGAGCAGTTGAATCAAAAGAGGGGTGCAGGGCCATCTTCAGAAGGATCTTCTTGGAAAAGGAACAGGGGCGGTCCATCTCAGTTTCAAGGACAGCAGTCTGCACGATCTGCTCCTACCACTTCGTTGCCAGCTGGGTCTGATAGGAGTGCAGTTGTTTGCTTTCAATGTCAGCAGCCTGGGCATTACAAGTCCAGTTGTCCCATGAGATTGACTTCAGTTTCTTCAGCTCTGAAGGCTTGTTATGGGTATGGCCAGCAGGGCCATTTGATTCGGGACTGTTCGAGTCAGAGAGCAGGCACCACTAGTGGCAGAGGGTCACGGTAGAGGCCGTTACAGCCGGCTACAGTTTAATCAGGTTTCAGACCACCGCCGCCACCACCACCACAGCCTGCCTTATCTTCTCAGGGTTCACGACCAGCTAGGAGGGATACTCCTACTGTGTCGGCACAACAGTCTGGTGTTCAGATTAGTAGTTCACAGGCACAGGCACCACAGGGGCGTGTCTTTGCCCTTGCATCATCGACTGATGCATCTCCTGGATCTTCAGTTCTCCGAGGTATATTTCCAGTGTTTGGTTCTTGGGCCCGTGTTTTGTTTGATTCTAGTGCATCTCATTCTTTCATTTCATCATCATTTGCACTTGCATCGGGGTTAGAGGTCAGTTTTATGGATCGGGCGTTATGTGTTGAAACGCCAGTTGGAGTTTCAGTGTCTTTGAGCCGAGTCGTGAGGGATTGTTCCATTGTGATAGCCGGGCGGACTTTTGTGTTTGACCTTATCCTCCTGGAGATGACTAGCTTTGATGTCATTCTCGGGATGGATTGGTTAGCTTCCTTTCATGCCACGATCGACTGTTTCAGAGGAAGGGTTACAGTTTGTACTCCCGAGGGAGACTGTTTCTTTTTCGTGGGAGATCGAAGTGATTCCTACATTTCATCGTTTTATGGAATTCATGGACAGAGTCATGGTGATTACTTTTTGGCTAGCCTTATAGCCGAAGAGGATGATGTTGTAGAAGAATATTATCCTGCAGTTGTTCGTGATTTTCTGGATGTGTTTCCGGAGGATTTGACAGAGTTGCCTCCACACCAAGAAGTGGAGTTCTCTATTGAGTTAATGCTAGGTACCACGTCGATTTCTATGGCACCGTATCGTATGGCACCAGTTGAATTGGAGGAATTAAAAAGACAGCTTGATGATTTGAGGATGAAAGGTTTCATCCGACCGAGTGTGTCACCATGAGGCGCACCGATCTTGTTTGCTAAGAAGAAAGATGGTTCTTTGAGGTTGTGCATCGATTATCGGAAGTTGAATCGCGCCACCATCAAGAACAAGTATCCTTTGCCAAGGATAGATGATTTATTTGATCAGTTAAGGGGAGCCAATTGTTTCTCCAAGATTGACTTGAGGTCTGGCTATTATCAGTTGCGGGTTAGGGATGAGGATAACCTGAAGACAGCATTCCGTACATGGTATGGACACTATGAGTTCCTTGTTATGCCTTTTGGCTTGACTAATGCTCCAGCGGCATTCATAGACTTAATGAACCGCGTCTTTCACGATTACTTGAACCAGTTTGTGGTAGTTTTCGTGGATGACATTCTTGTGTATTCACGATCTCGGGAGGAACACGAGATCCATTTAAGCATTATTTTACAGATTTTACGGGAGC